AAATGGAAAGAGACAGAGAGAGCAGGATCAAGCAAGCAGAGGAGCTTACAAGCCTTCAGGAACACATACCAGCGCGTTGCACTGGGTCTTTGACTCTGCTGGAGCACCAAAACGCTGGCCCAGCCCCACAGCAATGCAGTCGGACCCCACAGCCATGGTGGGAGCACTCACCCCACCGCCCACCCAGCCCTCCGTACCATGCTGGCTCCCATTCCACGCATCAGCTTCCGGATTGCTGACGGCAGAGTCTCCTGCAGAGTTTTTCCTCTCTTCCTGCTTTTCCTCCTAGACAGGAGAGCAAACAAAACAGAAACTCATTGTGTTGGAGGTCTGCACAGAGGTTTATGCTGTGTGTTGTACCCTCACACTGGTGCCAAGGGCCATACTGTGCCTCTGCAATGTCCATGATTTGACTGATGCTTGGCCCAGAAACGTGTGGCCAAGAGGATCTGATGATGGGAACCCAAGGGGGATTCTGGTGCAGAATGGAACAAGTGGTAGCAATCACACCTGGAGTGGGTCTGCTACAGCCAGGGCTGGCAGGCAGCACTTGCTTGCCTTGTCAAAGTCATAGAATAGGTAGGGCTGGAAGGGACCTCAAAGATCATCCAGTTCCAATCCCCCTGCCATGGGCAGGGACACCTTCCACTACACCAGGTTGCTCAAAGCCTCATCCAACCTGGCTGTCTTACTTCAACACTTACTTGGGCAGCCCAGACTCCAGAGAGCGGTTGAGAGTGCTCGATACCTACAGGCCCATCAGGACGTGTCCAGCATGGCCCAACTCGAAGCGCTCAGCATGTCAAACCACCAGCCAAGCGTCTAGAAGCCCTGATGCTCCACATGTTCAAGTCTTTTTGGCATTAACAGCCCACAGGTTACCCCTCTGACATACAGCTGACATAGCACTGAAAAGCATCAACGAGAACTGTGCGCACTCACAGTGCACACGGGGTGCCCATGGCCCACCCCTGACATCAGCACGTGCACACAAATGCCCTCCCTGCCCTCTTCCTACCATTTGCTCAGATTCATATTCTTCCTCTGAAGGGCTCTGGTAGTCCTTCCTCTTTCGTTTCTTCACCGGCTTGAGGATGTCAGTGGCATTGGTGCTGCTGGCAGAGTTTTCCACAATGACAGACCTGCACAGAGGAAGGGAGAGTAAACCACTGTGGCACACTACGTGGCAATGGCAGGGCTGTTGGTAAGAGAGCGGCTGCTGAAGAATCTCTGTCACCCCATCTCTTACTCACACATGCTTCCATCTCTCCTGACTAATGTATACACTCCTCTCAGTGCCCAAGTTGGCAAGAGGTTAGAACCAGGGTACAGACCACAACCACTCTCGCACACTTGGGTGTCCGAAACCTGAACCCAGGGATGGATCAAAAGCAATCTAGTTTCGTAGCAGGGCTCTAAGATGCAGCAGAGTCACAGAGATGCTGGAAAACAAGTCCCAGGAGTCACACGTTAGTAAGCAGAGGGGCTGGCAACACCCTTGGGACCCACACCTCCCACTGCTGCTCAGCCTGGAAGCACCCACTGCAGCAACCTCCTGCTGCAGCCCCACTCCAGCAGACACTTGTTTATGAGGCCACAAATCGGGCAGGAAAAAATCCGGCTCCTGTGCTTCCTGCTGTCCCCTGGGACAAGTCTTCATCCCCCCCCCTACACTGCAACCAGGGCACTCTGCCTACAGGAAAGAGGGAAACAAGTGGGGTCCCCAGCACCTGCTGGAGAGAGATGCACTTACATCCCTTGCTGGAGCACGTGGCCCAGGGGAGGGAGGGCAGACAGGCGGATGGACATGGCTCTGCATGGAGCACAGTCCCTGTCCTTTACCTTTCTTTGAACTGCTGGTGACAGTGCTCGCTGCAGAAGCCTCTGCCTTCCCGGGCTCCATCTGACACGTGTCTCCGGCCACAGGTATCACAGTGGCACATGGTTTCTGCTGTTGGCAGTTTGGTTTGCTCTGGCACGTCTGAGTCAGAGAGGAGAGGAGCAGTGAGGCAGGAGGTGCAGCAAAGGAAGGAGAGCAGGAAGCAGGAGACATCTGCCTTGCTCAGGGCCTACACCAGACAGCACCTGCTGGATGCTGGTACCCTCCCCAGAAGTGCCACCATGGTGCCCTTACCCTGAGCCACAGTAGGATTGTCCCTGCTGGTGGGTGCCACCTCCGAGTCTCCATCTTTCTCTGTGTGACCCTCCTTCATAGCTTCCACTGGAGGCATCTTATCAGCACTCACCACCTTCAGCGTCCCGTACTCATTTATTCGAAACTAGGTAATTGAACCAAAAACCAAGGCAAAACAGTTAACAAGGAGGATAGAAATGTAACTTGACAGCTAGTGGGTGCATGTGAGCTCTGAGAAGGAGAGGGACATGGTTCAGTCACCAGTGAGTCCAACAAAAGGACAGCTCTTCTGACAGCGAGCACGCTGCCTGCACCGGGGTGAGACCAGCACCAGCTGGCAGCACGAGGGGCAGGGTGATGGCTGGAGGATGTGGTGCCCCGAGGCTGAGTAGCACCTGAGAAACTGGTGCATTTTGTGCAAGCTGTTTCACGTACCGAGGGGCACACCTAAAGGCACCCACCGTCTGATGAGCGCAAGGCCACTGTTTCCAGGGTGGGTGCAGGAGTTTGGTGAGAGCCAACCCCACGGCACAGCTTAGAAAGGAAAGATGCCCTGCACAGCACGTAGCATGCCTCTGCCTCCCTGTGCAGGGCAGACCTGCTGCAGCCCACCAGGCATCATGTGCATGCTGTCTCTGCTAAGCTCAAAAGATGGGAACGGCACAGGGATGGGGCACAAGAGCCTCGCAGAGCTGGAACAGCCGAGGGATCCTCCAGCTGGGGTGTGGGTACTGCCAGGGACCACGTCACATCCTGGTGGTCCCTGACTGGCACAGGCAAGGGGACTGCCACTTACAAGGGCAAGCAGCTGCAGAATGGCGGGGCACAGGGGGCAAACACGGTGGCCCAGGGCTACACTTACCCGCAGGTTACTCCCAGGCAAAGTAGCCACCCCATCTTTCCACTCCAGCACACGGACTGTGCTGCAGGTCTGCACCCCGCTGATCTGGGGAATGACAGTAGCTGTGATGGGCTCGCTCCCCGCTCCCCTCTCTGGCCTCTCAGCCCCTGTGCTTCTCTGTGGTTCCCGGGGGAATCGCTGAATTTCTAAGGTGCTTGTGGGAAGGTTGATGGCAGTGGCATTTGCTTGAGAAGGGAAGAAAGGAAACAAACAACCAGAGGCATACACAGAACATTGAACTGATGCAAACAAGGCTCAAAGGCAAAACAAAATGACCAAGAGGAGACAGGCTCTCAGCCAAGGGCTCAGTGATGCAGGCTGAAGCACCCACGAGCAGACAGCATGACCCAACAAGATCTGCAATCAGCAAGGGCTTGTGCTGGGGGGTGGCACCAACCCTATCCATATTCAAGGGTTCCTACTTCAGCCTAACCTCAGACTGTTCCCATGACCAGGATGCCCTGATGTGGCAGGAGTGTGCTGGCGAGCTCCTGGATGGCATCTTCCAGTTTAGTTTCGTTTCAAAGGAACACACTGTGCGGGCCAAGACCTCTCTGCAGTGGGAACCAAGGCAGCAGGAGCAGGAAAAATTGGGAGATTAGCTTGTAAAGAACACCCCAGATCTCACCTAACATACACCCATGCTTTGCTCACACACCTCCTGAAAGACGCTGGTCAGCTGGGCTGAAAAATTCAGAGAATGGTTTGGGTTGCAATCATAGAATCACAGAATCATAGAATGGTTTGGGTTGGAAGGGATCTCAAAGATCATCCAGTTCCAGCCCCCCCTGCCATGGGCAGGGACACCCTCCACTACACCAGGTTGCCCAAAGCCTCATCCAACCTCATAATAAATCAGGAGCTGTGGACTGCCTCGAGGGCAGAGAGGCCTTACAGAGAGATCTGGACAGACGAGAGCTGGGCAATCACCAAGCCTACAACATTTAACAAGAGCAAGTGTCGGATTCTGCACGTGGGACAGGGTAATCCTGGCTATATGTACAAAATGGGGGACGAGAGGCTGGAGAGCAGCCCCATGGAAAGAGAACTGGGGGTTTGGGCTGATGGTGAGTTCAGGAGGAGTCAACACCGTGCCCTGGCAGCCCAAAGGGCCAGCCGTGTCCTGGGCTGCACCGAGCACAGCACCGCGAGCCAGTCGAGGGAAGTGATTGTCCCAGTCCACACCACGCTGGTGCAGTCCCACCTCGAGCCCTGTGGGCAGTTTTGGGCACCTCAGTGCACAAAGGACATCAAACTGCTGGAGTGTGTCCAGAGGAGGGTGACCAACACGGTGACAGGTCTCGAGGGCGAGACGTACGAGGAGCAGCTGGGGTCACTTGGTGTGTTGGGCTTGGAGAAGAGAAGGCTGAGGGGTGCCCTCATGGCAGCGTACACCTCCTCCCGGGGGGCAGCGGAGGGGGTGGTGATTTCCCCTCTCTGGTGACCAGCGATGGGACACGAGGAAACAGAATGAAGCTGCGTCAGGGGAAGTTCAGATTCAACGTTAGGAAAAGGTTCTTCACTGAGAGGGTGGTCGGTCCCTGGAACAGGCTCCCCAGGGAAGTGGTCATGGCACTGATGGTCAGAATTCAAGGAGCGTCTGGGTGATGCTCTTAGTCCTATGGTTTCATTTCAGGCAGTCCTGCGAGGGGCAGAGAGTTGGACTCAATGACCCTTATAGGTCCCTTCCAACTTGAGATATTCTGTGATTCTGTAATAATGCGGCAACCCAGGAGCCCACATGTCCTGCAGAGCAGGCACCCAGCACACTCTGCTGCACTAGCACAGGGCTACAGACATCAGGGCTTTGGTTTAAAACTCAGGAGGTTTTGATCGGCCACAAGTGATGTAGGAAAGCCACAGAGAACCTCTAAGATGGCAACAGCGGCACAGCTTTGGCTCCCAAGGTTTGAGAGGAGCACAGATGTACAAGGAGTGTGAGGTATCGATGTGGAGGGAGAAGGCTGGGGAGGCACCAGCTAGAGAGGACAGTTCTGCATACCTGGTATGATGAAGGCAGTCGTTGGCAGGTGGGTGCTCTGCACAGTGCTCTCGGTGGTCACCACGTGGACGCTGACCTCCCCGGCAGCATTCCCCTTCGTGCTTCTCACAACCTCCATCTCTGCTCTGCTGTCCATCACCTTGCCTGGGCACAGAGTGAGACACTGGAAGACAGCAAGAAAGAAATCAAGTTGGGTACAAGTACAACCACGACAAAGGAGTGAGAAAGAGACTGTGGAGGATGGTCCCTCCTTTTCCACCATCTCTCAGTAGAAATCCCTGCAAGATGTATTAAAGGCCGATTGAACCCAACAGAAAACAGCATGAAGGTCACAGCTGGTACCAACACAACTTAGTAAAGCCCCTGTTGCAAGGTCCCAGCTTAGAGCCTGCAAAAGCCACAGGTTTTTTCTTACCTGGCACCACCATAAGATGGTACGAGCACAGCAGGTCCACCACAAGCTATGGCTGCTCCAGGCTCTCACTGAGGCCTCCACCACACTGATGCAGACTGTGACTCAGGGCTGGCAAATCCTACCCTGGAGAAGATGGAGGTCCCTGAAGTTCCCCTTCCAGTTCTCCCGTTGGGCAATGACCCTTGATCTTCTACCTGGCTGTAAGAGACAGGTGTTAACCAGGAGGGGAGGGGGGTGTGGGTGTGGGGGGACATGAGGTGCACTGCATGCAGCTGAGTTTCTCACAGGACTGGTGATGTTCAATCCATTTAGCCACGAATATCAAGAAGTAGGCAAGGTGTCAGGGTCCTGGAGGCACTACTGACCAGCTTGCCCCGTGACCCATGTGCCCAGGAGCTCCATGTCAGCCCACTCCCAGCCTGTTTATGCCACTCTGCAGCAGTGCTGGTCTCCAGTTGCTGGCTGGCAACCATGGGACCTGACCCGCCGGCTGGCACCCTGGCTTCATCGCAGACCTTGCCTGCTGACCTGAGCTCCTAGCTGGATCTGGCCACAGTGGCTCTGCCAGCTGCCTTCCTCATTTCCCTGTCCCTGAGGCAGCAGATAGACCCTGTTGTGGCCCAGCAGGCAGGATGGTGCCTACACCAGGATGTCCCCAGACCAAGCCGGAGGGAAGAACGACATTGCCTCCTGGTGCCCAGGACACCTCGGCAAGGGAGGGCTCTCAGTGCTGCTCCTGCCCTGGTGAAAAACACAATGGACACACAGAGCTGAGCAGAAAAGCAGCAGCTTCATCGGGTGGGCTCAGGGAAGGTGGATCTCTCCATGCCTACTGAAAATGATGGCCCAAGTGTCCCAGAGACTGCTGGAGTCTGAGGACACTGGGCTGGGTAAAGATTTTGGACATGCCCTGTTTCCTACACCCTCTTCAAAGCACGTGCTGCCAGGGCAGAGGCAGGGCTGCTGGGGCTAAGCAGGGGACCATGCTTGTGTCTTGGTTGTTTTTGATGGAACCTGGATTGGAAAAAGAAGATAGTCATGTGGAAAACAGGACGGTCGTTTCAGTGAAGCAGTTAAATAAGAATTTGGCTACGAAGGGCAAAAGTCTGGAATTTTAAATGTGAGACATTAAGATAAAGGTACTAGAACCAGAGGGTAAAGAGTGGGATGGTGTGCTCATGTCAGGGAAGATCTACTTCTTCCTCTCTCTTCCAGTGCTGTCAGGTTTGTGATCAGAAATACCCGACGTTCCACTGGCAGATGGTACAGACCTTTAAGGTCCTCCAGGTGCAACGTCAGAAAAGGACTGTTAAGTGTCAGGAGAACTGAAGGAACTGAGTAACTCAGCTGGACACCAGACTCCAACTGAAAGCCAGAATGACCCTGGCAGCCAACCTGCCTTGTGCTTCCTAATACCCTTTAGGAACCTACTTGCTTTCTTAGGCACTGAAATCTCATATTTAGCCTTGATTCACCACTTGGGTCAAATGTTTCAAGGACAACTCCTCCTTTTGTGTGAGCTGTTGTTTGGTTTGTGTGGTTTTTTTGTTATTTGAACAGAACTTGGGACTGGAAATGCTTAGAAAGGAAGAGAAATAAGTAGATCCAGTGCCCAAGCTGAGTGATGCTCAAACTCATCTCTGTACAGCAGTCTATGATGTGAACACAATAGTAAAAAATTGCACAGGAAATAACCAGGAGTGATTATCCCATGTCAAACACTCTCCAGATCCTTGCGGGGCGGCCTGCCGATGCTGTTGAGATTGAGTCTGCTGTGTCTTATAAGTTCAGGGTGAACAGAATTTTTTTGGATCATAGATTGCGGCGCTATTCCTTGCACTGGAAGAACTAAAGAACTGAGATGTAGGACTTAACCTCCTGACAATGCCTCCTCCAACAACCTCCTGGGAAAGGCCTCGCTGCAGCAAAGGGCACGGCCCCCATCGCACCATGGCTGGGCAGCCCAGCTCAGAGGGGCAGGGGCCCCTCGAGGAGCTCTCGGGAGGCAGAGGAGCCCATCCAGCCCACGGCCCTGCCCTGTCACTCCTCTTCCTCTTATCTGACCCTCAGCAGCAGTGTCCGTGCCTCCCCTGGCATCTCTGGCCAGAGCAACCTCTTTCGTGTTGGTGGAAAACTTTTTCTAACTCCTTCCCTCAGCTCCTGCCCTTCGAGCACAGGTGGAGCTCAAATTCTGGAAGCAACTCCCCCAGCATGTGTCCTGCTCCATCCCACAGGGAAGCAAAGACTTTGAGGTCCTGGACCCCACAAAACCTTATGCTTACAGACATCTCAAGCCACGTTTCTCTCCTTTTGAGATCCATGGAGGAAGACAAGCCCAAAGCTATTCCAAGGCCACACATGAGCAGCAAGAACACGGTGTGAACTTGTAAGCACATGGTAGCCACAGCTGAAAACCAGTGACGCCCAGGGCTCTCCCTCCTCTTGCCAAGGGCTTCCATGGCATTAAGACAACAATCTACCACCCACACTGCTCACATCAACCATAGCACATGTTGTCAAACTTTTAACTCAGGATTTCTGAGATAACCCCCACACAAACAGTCCCAAGGCCCACAGCACTGCTCTGGACCACTGCCCCACAATGCTCTGGAGTCTTGCTGGTGGGACGGGTGTGGACATGAGACGACACTTGGGCTGCAGAGCCTCATCCCCAACCTGGAGGAGTGAGAATCAGGACTGAAGACATCATTTGCAGCTCACGGTTTTCAAAACCTTGGCAGAAAAATCCCTGGAAGCCCGGTCTGCTGTGAAATATCTCAGGTCAGGAGCAGCATAGGAGGAAAAGGGGAGAAGAGAACAAGCATCTCCGTAAAGGAGCACAGCCATAGCTATGATCTGCCCTAGCATCACTGTCACAGCAGGAAAAAGGCACTGGAACACATCCCTTTGGACAACCCTGCTCCCCAAGAGCAGGACCTCTGACAGATGTCAGGGAGAGGATGCCCACAGCTGAGTCAAGTCTGGTTGCTTCAGCACATGGAGCCAGAGGCTGGGCAGGTACCACCACCCCACAGATCTCTTCAAGGGGTCTCCCGCAAGCCCTGACATGACCTGTTAAGGACAGCAGGATAATTCAGGCGGGAAGGAATCTCAGGAGGTCTCTAGTCCCACCTCCTGCTCACGGCATGGTCAGTTATGGGATCAGACCAGGTTGCTCAGGGCTTTATCCAGCCTGGTCTTGAAAATCTCCCAGGATGGAAACTGTACTTCCTGCAAATTAGCACAACAATTAGCAAAACAACTAAAGTGTTCCCTCTCTGGTGACTGCTCTAGATGATGAACAAAAGGTTTAATTATTTTTTAAATTTTTTATTCAGTTGAGATCTTAAAAAGCTTTTGGCCTACACGTGCCTCAGTGATGTCTGATAAAACTCCGCCTGCCCTGACAGGACCACAATTAGGCCAACACTTGTCAGCTTTCAAAAACCCCACCATCCAGATCTTAGAATAGCAAACAATCGTAGAGGTGGAGGCTATTTTGGACTTACCAGTGAGTGAGGCCCCAAGTTCCCCATTTTTCCTGGTATTGAGTGTAACTCCATATGTCTTACAGAGGGTGTAGGTCAGCCCCGCTCCCCGACAAGCCTGCCATTCAGTCTTCCCTTTAGGTCCACAGGGACCTAAAACTCTGCACACCCACTCATCTCTTCTGAGGGACAGCCAAAGACCTCAGGCTCCCACTCTGGAGAAGCCAGAAAGGAAAAAAGCCACCCCAGGAAACCCCGGCTGTGGTCCCTCCAGAGACCACCACAACATGCTGGCTGGAAGGAGGAATTTTTCAAGACAACTGTCATCCAGAAGCACTCTCCTTCGTGGGCTGCTTTGCTCCACTAAAGCAGTTCCTGCAATCCCATTCTCCATCTACGAGCACGTACATGCGTATGGCCATCTGTCCGCAGTCAGACCCCGCCAGCCTATTTCAACCAGTTTTGGCAGCGAGATCAGATGTCTCTGGAACATTGGTCTCCATCAGAGGAAAACCTTCAAGCTTGGGAAGCCAAGCATCTGCACAGAGGTGGGGTCTCTGCATCGCCCCTCACCTCGCAGGGGAGGGCATCAGCTGAACTTCCCGACCACCAGAGAGTATTCACATGCACAGAGGCAACTGGCCACAAAAAATGTTTTTAAGGCTCCCAGACTTCACTGGTTCTGCTGCACACAAAGTTTCTAGCTCATCAAACGAGAAACGTTGGATGCTGGCACACCAGCGCTCCGGACCAGCGACACAGGGGCTCGGGAAGTGAGCATTTCGACGGTGAAACACGTGAGCCTCCAACTCTGCCACGGTCTCACAGCCGCCCGCTCGCGAAGCCAGGGCAAAGCCAGGGAATGATCCGCTGTTTGGAAAAACGAAGGATACGCTGCATGCAGCAGGCCATAGAGGAGCACGGAGGAAAGCAGCTCCCAGCACACGGACTCTGTACAGCCCCATCAGCACTTTATAAAGCACAGCCTGGTCAAAATATGTGTTTTTTATCATCACAAAATTGGCTTAAAATAACCGTATTTCAAACAATATTGACATGTTTATTGGCTTTGTGGCTTCTCAGATTTTTAAATATTCCTGAAATCTGCACCGGTATACACTGGGGGCTGCCCGACTGGAAAGCTGAAGCTCGGCAGGAAAGGCCCTGGGGTCCCGGTGCACACCATGGACCACAAGCCGGCAACGTGCCCCTGCGGCAAACGGTTCCCGGGGC